GGAAATTGTTTGTAACGTTCAAATTCTGAAAGCCATTGAGTCTTATTAAGAGGCATTTTTTCTCCTAGCAATTTCCAGGTAACCATAGATAAGCCTGATTCGGTGAGTCTTGTTATACCACCTAAATACATAGAAGAAAGGAAAAATAATTTTCGATTGTTTCTTAAATATAAATATATTTTATTTATCTTAACAAGTACTTAATGTGATTAAATATTACATAAATTTTAATTGCATATATAATAGACTCCATTAAATCATGGAAGAGAGAAATATTAATCTGAAATTCTATTTTCCATATGTCTTTTCTACAATGCTCTTAAGTATGATACAAATGTAGTGATAATATACAAAATAAATAATAGTACCCAATGCGACTGCTATAAAAACCATGCCGCCACAAGTGAGCAACCAAGATCCCACAATTTTCTCATGTTTACCGCTTGGTTTTGAGACATAATTACGAATTATGACGTTTACTTGTTTAAGTGGTTTCTGTCGTTAAAATTAGTTTAATATTAAACATCGTTTAGTTTATTAAAATTACATAGCATTGTCAGATATACTAGAATGTTCGTTACCTTTTGAAACAAGAATTTTGAACAGTATTTCAAAGAAATATTACATCGCTCAACGCCAGCACTTGCATTGGTAAACAAGTATTGTCGACTAAGTATGCGTCTAGTAGCATTATACGCTCCTAATACTTTTGTATGATACCTTACGATATTCAACATATTACAAATACTGCAATCAAAATACAAGAGTTGACGAACATCAAGCAATCAATAAACATAAATGCACACTGATGTGAAGTATTAATTCTCGAAAACACGTAAATAAGATGTGATAAAATTACGCCTTGCTGAGCCTTCCGGCATAACGTAAGTGTACTTCTTGTATCCCACGCATACAGCGAAAGTTCTCTATATTCCAAAGTACAGTAGGGGCTTCGCATAATAAAAGGAGTAGAGAATAGAGAACAGAAAATAAGAATTTCAACTTATCAGAAACTGTGTTCCACAATACATTATTTCTGATAGGTTGAAATTCTCGTATTCATAATCAGGTCTTATATTTAAGGGTTCCTTAAATTTATTTTTAGATACTCTAAATTATTTCATTGGTTGCTGAGCATTTAAAGATAAATTTAAGAAAATCTTAAGTACAAAGTCTGATTATGAATACGGGCATTATTCTCTGTTCTCTGTTTCT